AATGTATGGGAAACTGGTAATGTATATCGAAATATCGGAAATGTGTTTAAAAATCATATCACCGTTATTGAAAAAATATATATCGCGATACATATTGATATTGAATTATTGTCCAGCCCTATTTTGAGCACTCCAGGGTGATTATGAACATGAAATTATCCAGCCATGGCTTCCTGTTTCACAGGAATATAAATAGGAGGGAAAACAAAGGCCAAATTCCCTTAATCATCCATCACAATGAGAAAAACCAAAGAATATATTTCTGATGTGCAGCAAAAGATAATTGAGCTTCACAAATTAGAAAGTGACTTTAAGAAAAGAGCTAGAGCAGTGAAAATTCCCATTTCCACCATCAGGGCAATAATCCAATCAACCCAATCAACAGAAAATGTTACGAATCTGCCTGAAAGAGGACGCGTGTCTATATCGTCCTAATGCACGCTGAGGAGGAGTGTTTGAGTGGCCAAAGACTCTCCAAGGATCACAACTGGAGAATTGCAGACATTAGCTGAGTCTTGGGGTCAGAAAGCCTAAAAAAAATATATCAAACAGCCCCTACATGTTGTTTGGGAGGGTTTCAAGAAAAATTCTCCTCGCTCATCCAAAAACAAACTCCAGCATATTCAGTTATCATACACGACTGGAACTTGACTGGCTACTGGCTTCTATGGTCAGATGTAACTAAAAATGAGCTTTTTAGCAACAAACACTCAAGATGTGAACACAGAACACAGGGATAAAAAGTACCCCATGTGTACAATGAAATATACGGCTGTATTTTTAATGTTGTGGGCCTATATTTCTGCTGGAGGTCCTGGACATCTTGTTTAGACACATGGCATCTTTGATTCTATCAAACATGTTTGGATCTTCCAACCGGACAATAATCCAAAAACAAACCTTAAAAACAACACAAAAATGGGTCACTGGGCACAAAACCAAGCTTCTGCTATGACCATTCCAGTTCCCTGACCTGAACCCTATAGAAGATAAGTGGGGTGAACTGAAGAGAAGAAGCTGGCAATCTGAAGGATCTGGAGAGATTCTGGATGAAGGAATGCTCTCTAACCTCATCAGGCATTATAGGAGAAAACTCAGAGCTGTTATTATGCCAAATGGAGGTTTCAAAAAGCATTGAATAAAAGGGTGCCGTTAATTGTGTCCAATGTGTATTAGAGAAAAGCATTTATTTCATAATGATATTTCCCCCTATTTTAAATTCTTATTCTCCAATGAAAGGTTAGATTTATGTGAATTTGTTAAATAAAAGCTCAAAATGACTAACAATGCAGATTTATTTTCACAGCCTTCTTTGATCATATTTACCAAGGGTGCCAATAATTCTGACCCCGACTGTATGTGTCACGAATCCTGTCCATGGACTGAGGTCACCCTTCCATTACATTGACTCTCGCACTACACAAACTGTTGCATGTCATCCCGGACTACATATCCCATCATCCATTGCACTGATTGCACACAGCACTGATTGCACACAGCTGTAACCAATCACACATTCACTATATAACACTCACTCAAACAACCATTCACTGCCGAGTATTGTAAGTGCATATCTCTCACCTAGCGATAGCTACTTTACGGAGCCAGTTCCCTGTCCTTGTTTAAGTATTTAGTTCTAGTTTTCATAGTCATAGTCTTGTCTTGCCTGCTTTCCCGTGTTACCTGATTATTGCCTGTTTATCTTGAGTTAACCCTTTGCCTGCTGTTTCGGACTGTTTGCACCTCGCCTGGACTCTAGCTCGTGTTATTGGATAACCCCTCATGTCAAGCCCTCTGGATATTGTTAGCCGCTTATCGACCATGCCTGTTTTGGATTACTCTGCTGTCTTGACCTCAATATACCTGTTTGCCAATGTTTGATTTATGCCTGTTTCTGACCACGTCTCCAGAATAAAGCTTTGCACATGGATCCGCACATCTCACGTCTCGTCAGCCCTGTAACAGTATGTGTGTGTATATATATAAAATGTATTCTGAGATCTACAGGAATGAGATATTAAGAGTATTTGTGCATCATTGACTTCATTATTCAGTGTCCATGAACATCTTGCTCAGCATAAGTGTTGTTCAGATGGTCATGAGAAACACTCAAACCTGCTACACGTGACAGAGATGCTGTCAACAATCTCCACAAAGCATGCTGTTATTACAGCCATCTGTCTGGTGTCTAAAGCTATTTATACAGTCCACTGTGAGAACAACTTACGGTTGATACATCAGACAAGAAAAATGGTCAGAAAAGTGTTTTGTTTTGCCTGTCATCTATTATGAACGGCAGAAATCATGGCATTCCTTATGATCTTTTACAACAAAGAAAAATGCAAAATAAAAACTAAAATTAATACAATGATATATATATATATATACATATATGTATATGTGTGTGTGTGTATGTTTATCACCTAGTTATAAGTTAAATCACACTAGAATAAGTTAAATCAGTTTTAATTTTGAAAAAAATATTTTTAATTAATTTTTTTAATTAACCAAATTAAGTAAAATCATTTTGCAATGTGTTTTTTTTTTTACCGTATTTAGGGTACTGTGAACCAATTTTTTTGCTAAAATAAAAACCATGCTTAGTGTTCAAGATAAAAAAAATACATATGAAGAAATTTATTTATATTTTTTAAATATATAATTTTATAATATTTCTCTCTCTCTCTCGCTCTATATATATATACACATTACAAAATATAAATATATATAAATAAAGAAATAAAGATATTATAACAAAATTATAAATAATTAATTAAAAAATATAAATAACAGAGGTAATGACTAATATATATATATATATATATATATATATATGAGAAAATCCCCAAAGATCATCCTGCAACTTGCTGAAAATTCTTAGATTATTTATTTTTATTACAAATATTAATTTAAGGTCACAGCAGGCTCTGGTTCCTGGAAAGCAACAGGCTTGAGAAACGCAGCGCTTGCGCTCCCTGCTGGACACAATCAAGAGCGACGGTCAGTTCACTGCATTTCCAATCCTTTAATTCACAGCGAAGCTTCAGCATGAGCAGATGAAAGAGTCTCGTGTGCAGTACATACACAAGTGAAACATTTTCTGGTTAAAAATGTAGAAAGTCTCAAATTTACACATTCATAATCAAATTTACTTGGACTTCTTAGTCACTGAGCGTCTTCTTTTCCTTCTTCCTGAGTGATATATAAAATATAAAATGCAATTATCATCAAGCATGCAAAACGTGCAAAATGCATATATTTGGATTGAAACGCTTTCTGGTAAATTTCTCAATTTTATCCATTTATTATAAATCTTACTTAGACTTCATAGTCGCCATCCTCTCTCTCTTCTCCCCGAGTCTGTCTGGCTTTGGTTTACTCGCTCGCTCAACTCTCAGAGCAATTTTGAAGTAATCTCTGTCTGCAAAACATAATGCACAGGAACATTTAATATGTCACAGCCATTGTTTTCTGTAGTGTTTCTACTGAGGGAATGGAAACTTTCTGCATGCAGTCAGAAATAATCATCAGGTACTTACTGTTTTCACCCGTAAACCTCAAAACGTCTCTCTTGACCATCAGAAGCTGGACGTTCTGGAGCGAGTCCCTCCTGGCGATGTAGCTTCTGTAGTGTAAGGAAAGCCAGAGCGATCTCCTGACGTTCCACTCCTTTCTCACAGTGTTAATGCACTTTCTAAATCAACATCACGAGAAAGGTTAACCATGCTGGAGTGACCGAACCCAACGGCGCACCTTCAGCCACATGTGCTTGAAAGCACCGGATTTTCCAGAATAAAAGTCAAGTTTATCATCAGAATCGTGCTGTGACTTCCTTATTAGCCAATTCTAATTTCTAATTCCTAAGTGATTTATATAATGCAATTAATTGTATGCATAACGTGTATTTCCCATTCTTCTTATTGGATGGCCATTATGGATGTGACAAAATATTATCAATATGTTTACAATTTGAACAAGATATAACAACTGTGTTTTTTGTGTGTACTATGTGTTCCTTTCTTTTATTGTTATTATTATTACTACCACTCTGTGAATAAAGAGAGATCTGGCTATTTATACTTTAAAAGTTACATTCTAATCTCCTATTTTGTTACAGTACATCTCAAACAAATAAAAAAAAAATTAGATACATATTTTGTCACATTCCTAAAAAATAAAAAGTCACATTCATAAAAAAATAAAATTATACATTTTGCCACCTTCATAAAATAAAATTCTTCACTTTAATAAATATATATAATAAATACTTTTGCATAATTAATTATTAATATAATAATTAAATAATTTTTTTACATTTATATATTTTTTAATGAATAGTGAATTAACAATATATGAAAAATAGCAATAAAAATTAACATCACATTTGTTCGAAATTTTGTTTAAAATTAATACCACTATAATTGTTTGTTTTATACGTATATATTTTTCATTCCTGTTCTGAAAACTGTAAAATTGAAAAGATATTGTCTGCATTTTATGTCATTTATGAATTGAATAATAAAATGAAACTCATAGGCCGATGAACTCAACAACTCAACAATGCAATTTTGACCCGGTGCAACTTATTTTACATACTATTTATGGTATATTAATAATAACTTACTTCATTTTGAGTTTCTTCATAATATTCAGAAGACACTTCCAAGCCTTAATGCTACATTTCCAGCTGGAAAACTCCAGAAGGTCCATGGAAACGGTGAGAGCTTCTTCTAGATCGCTCATTTGCTCTGGAAAAGAAGCAGAAACTCCTTTAAATCAAAGTCTTTTGCTTTAAACATTTCAGTGACACGTGGGCTATAAAGCCCAACAGACTTACACTGGAGGAGGATCTCAATCCATATCAAGAGAACAGAAACCACCACCCAGAACATCCTTAGAACTACATTGCAATGCGCTGAAAATGTTTTTTATTCATACGTACTGGTGTGCAGCAGCAGCGAGCAGAGCTCCAGCATCAGCTCGTGACTCGGGACTAAAGAGTGCAGAATCTGAGCGACACAAGCCACAACATGTCAGTCATTTTAATGAGAATCTTCATATATTCCTGATTGACTGAATGGTTTCATACCCTTAATGAACCGATGAGTTTGGCTCGTGGGGCTTTGTGTCTCTTGAGGAACTGGTACAGATACACGTGAGCGTTGGGGTTCAGCGGGAACTCCTTGTTGTAAGCGTAATTCTCCAGAACCTGCAGAGCGACGTCCTTATCCTCGTAAAACTCCAGCATCTGCAGCGGACCACACATATAGACAGCAGGAGATCAAGACCAGTCTGCTTTAGTTTAAACAAAAACAACAATTCTGTCATCATCGTTACTTTCCTCAGCGCAACAGAAAAGGATTCACTACCTTTCAAAGGTTTAGGCTCAGTAAGTTTTTCTTTAAAGAAGCTAATCATTTTATTCAGCAAAGGATGCATTAAATTGATCAAAAATAAAGTCAAAGTTTTTTTTAGGATTTTGAAAGAAGTCTCCTGCTCAGCAAGGCTGCATTTGATCAAAAATACAGTGACAATTTTAAAATATTATTACAATTTAAAATAGCATTTGTTTTTTATTTGAATATCTGTTCAAATGTAATGTATTGCTGTGATCAAAGCTGAATTTTCAGCATCATTACTCCAGTCTTTCGAAGAAACATTTCTGATTATTATCAATGTTGAAAACAGTTGTGCTGCTTCATAATTTTTGTGGAAACTGTGATTTATTACCATTCAAAATTTGGGGGTAAGTAAAATATTTGATTTATTTTTTATTAAAAAAAATTTTGAAATTAAATTTCAAATAAATGCTGTTCTTTTGAACTTTCTATTCATCTGTGAATCCTCCTGAAACATAAAATGCATCACAGTTTCCATAAAAATATGAAGCAGCACAACTGTTTCCAACATTGATAATAATCAGAAATGTTTCTTGAGCAGCAGATCAGCATATTAGAATGATTTCTGAAGATCATGCGACACTGAAGACTGGAGTAATGATGCTGAAAATACAGCTTTGATCACAGGAATAAATTACAATTTACATTATATTACAACAGAAAACAGCTGTTTTAAACTGTAAAAATATTTCACAATTTTCATAGTATTTTTTATCAAAGAAATACAGCCTTGGTGAGCAGAAGAGACTTCTTTCAAAAACATTTAAACACTTTTAAAGAAACAGAACATTCATATAATGCATATAACTTGTTCACTAGATTGCAAGTCTTTTAAAGTCACAACAGCCTTGTGTAACAAATAGACTAAAATATGAGCTATTATTCGCTCACAAATCTCATGTGTATTTAAACAGGACTACTATAAGACTCTTCTGTATTACTCTCATCATGCAATTTGCCCTTAAGGCTTTCTTTGCACAAACAAATCATGAGGGGGAGTAAATGACGACAGAACTGTCACTTTAGTCGAAACAAACCCCAAACAAGTCACTTCGCACAAGGCGAGATAGAGTCTCACATGAATGTAACTCAACACGAAAGGATCCCAGACTCCAGGCTGACTGACGATCTCCTTCAGGGTCACAGAGGCTTGTCTGAAGTAGCTGTGCATCTCACGGTTAGCGCACTCCTCCTCTGACAGCAAAAGCATTGACAGAGAACATCATTTAAGACAGATGCAAAGAGAGAAACCCTGGTTTAATGTCAGATTATTGATCTTCTTACCGCTTCCAAGTGCTGAGGTCTTCTTCTCATTCCAGATCAAGTAATCTAGATAACCGCAGTAGGAGCGGATGAGCTTTTTCGTCATGGACTGAGCATTCGACTGCTTGCCGTATCTCCAGCTGTCTGCGATGGACAGCTGCCGCTTGGCTTCATCCATCTGGCCGTTCAGCATAAGATGAAAGCAATGCTCCAAACAGATCTACAACATGACAAGTTACATAACGTACTGATCAAATGCATCGCTTGAGTGCAGCGTGCATGATGTTAGAAGGAGGTCTGGATGTTTATAATGCAATGCTTACCTTTGAGTAGTTTCTGACGCCAAAGTTTTTCAACTGTTCATAAAAAGCATTGAAATCATCAAGGCTGGAATTAGGAAGATGACGCAGAATTTCTGTGCCTAAACGCCACGTGATCTGATGGGACAGAATCAAGCAGATTGTTAATGATTAGTTTTTTCATGGGAACCGATTTGTTGAGAAATGTTGAGCAGCAAAACTGTTTCCACCATTGATAATAAATCAGCATATTAGAATGATTTCTGAAGGATCATGTGACACTGACGACTGGAGTAATGATGCTGAAAATTCTGCGCTGCATCACAGAAATAAATTATACTTTAAAGTATATTTAAATAGAAAACCATTATTTTAAGTTGCAATAATATTTCACAATTTTTCACTGTATTTTTCGTATTTCTGAATAAATAAATGCAGCCTTGATGACATAAACATAGAACATAAATCTTACTGATCCCAAACTTTTGAACAGCAGTGTATATCTTGCATGGCCTGAAGGTGAGCACATTTTCAGCGAATTCTCTTTTTTGGTTGAACTATTCCTTGTTTTAGCATTTGGTCACCAGACATTTCTTTCCAAAGAGATATTAAATATTCCTTAAAAAATAGACAAGATATTCCAGCAATGACATTATATATGTGACAGGCTATGAATGCAGTGCACAGGGTCACTCCATGAACTATTCCTTGTTTTAGCATTTGGTCACCAGACATTTCTTTCCAAAGAGATATTAAATATTCCTTAAAAAATAGACAAGATATTCCAGCAATGACATTATATATGTCACAGGCTATGAATGCAGTGCACAGGGTCACTCCATGTTATGTTTCCTTCTATGCAAGAAAAGTGAATTGATTTCATAACGCATATAATAGAAACTTATAAGCAGATTTGACAGGGCTCCACAGGCTGATGTACCTCAGACGCAGCTGATCGCACTTGGGGATGAGTTCCAGCCTCCAGTGTCTGAATGTAAGAGCTGAAATACCTCGCAGCCTCCTGCCAGTTATGCCGCAGCATCGCCTCTCTGATCAATTTCAGACACTTTCTGTTGGACTTGAGGAAGTCGATCGCAGTGAATGAACCTGAAAAACGAAAACACCCTTTTGAGTGAGTGCCCTTGACCGCGTAAACGCTCAATAAACATGATGAGATATCATCAGGACATCACCTCTGGGGTCTGGCTGAGACTGGTGGAGGAGAACGGCCTGTTTAATCTGCTCCTGATTTCTGCCTTTATCCTCCGGAGAGTCCGAACGCGCTGCTGCGATATTGAGCTCAGTCTCTATATCATCCATATTGCGCTGCTTCACGGAGACTAAAAAGTATAATGAGACTAAAAAGCCGTATGCTTCAAATAGCACGCAATAAACGCGTTTTGATCCAAATGTAACTCTAAACACGTGTGCTTGGTGTAAACAGATCTCTCCCTCGTCGAAATGAGCGGAGAGCGTGACCGGTTCACAGCGCCACCTGCCGCACAGGAGGACAACAACGCCAACGAGCGCAGGCGGTTTAATCGATCATTACATAAAACGAGCGATGTTTCAAAAGATTAATTTATGTGAAACACAGTTTATGAAACCATTATTTATTAATGAACACTAAAAACATCCAGTTTTTTTTAAACGTTAAGGGAAAATATAATTTTATAATTTTGCAAACATAATGTGAACATCACTTTTGAATGTTCTCTGAACGTTTTAAAAACAAGTAGCCTAGTTTAACACACACAAACTTAAACAGAAATTAATGATTGGGAACATTATTGAGACCAGATAACGAGGACGAACGACATAATTGTTCAGTAGAGTTCAGAATGGTTTTATTTATTGATTTATTTATTGATTCATTTTTTTAATTTAAAACCCAGCAAGATACCAGACATTTATATCCAAATATATTAAATATTCCTTAAAAAAAACATATATTACATAAAAAAGTTTTGTACATTTTGTAAGGTATTCATTTGTGCTTATAAATGAAAATGTATGTTTGAAACAAAA